GTCAGGGATTATCTTTCACGAAATAAAAAATTAGGCCCCAAGGTTTAAATTTACAAAACTCAGATTTTTCCATGAATTTATTAATTATATTTTACAATTAATCTATTAAATTAAATATTTAACTGTAATATAATATTTATATAATTGACCCCCTCCACCCCACCGACCCACTCCACCCCACCTCCACTGTCCGGCGACTACTTCGGTGACCGACGATCAACAACTGTTCTCCGACCGTACTTAATTTCGACGACTATTTTTCGGTGATCGTTGGCCGCCGCTTAATTCCAGTAACTGCTCTGATTCCAAGGTCACAAATATCTTATTAAGTAGTTAAAAATTTAATTTTCGGTCACAACTTATCAAATTATTTGGTCACAGATTATTTTAAGGTCACAATTGAAAAAAATTATAGGTCACAAATTTTTAATTGATCACAAATTAAGAAAATTTGTTGGTCACATATTATATTTTGTATCACATAATAACAAATTTTAAAGTCACAGTTAAACAGTTAGCTACAGAGAACTATACAGTTGGTCACATACACCTAAATACATGTCCCCCAATCCCACTACACCACCAATACTTGGTCACATATCGATATAGTTGGTCACATACACCCAAACACTCGTCCCCCAATCTCGAAATACTACCAATAATTGGTCACAATTTGACCAAATAGTTGGTCACGGAAACTCTTCGTCTCATCCACCCGAAGTAGCCACCAATACTTGGTCACAGATTGACCAAATAGTTGGTCACAGAAACTCTTCGTCCCCCAATCCCAACCACCACCAATAGCCACAAACAGAGAGATCTGCCCATCATAGCCACACACACACACACACATATCGCCACACCACAACCGAGAAACCACCACAAACCGCAGCATCGAAGACCCACAACACCTCCACCACACACCCACTNAAACCTTTTGAAGGTGCCGAAAAGGTAGTTGGATGGGCTTTATGGCATCAGTTGATGCGGAGCCCTGAAACTGATGCAGGTGCCAAGCTTGTTTTATCTACTGAGAGGTAATAGGAGTAGCCACTTAAAATTTTATGGATGGCTAACTAAGCCCCTGTTTGACACCCATTTTTTCTCATTCTCATTCTCATTTTTTTTCTCTTTCTTCATTTCAACCACACATTCTATCAATAAAATAATACTACACATAAACCCAAAAATTCTCATTACTTTTTAACCACATATTCTTCCATCAATCACTATTCCAAAATTTATTTTTTGTCAAAAATGGGTGTCAAACAGGGTTAAAAAAAGATAAAACCTGATTTTTTATTAAATAAAGTTAAAACTTGATTTTCATAATGTTGAAACTAAATAGGGTGTTTGGTAATTATCTCAATTTTTTATTTTTTATATGAGCCCCAATAACTACTATATTTTTTATTCTCATTATACAAATAATTTAGTTCAAATAGGGCTGAATCTCACTCCACTCCAAATGAGCCCGAGTTTGTCACCTGATGGACACTTGATCCCAAGTAAGACCAAAGAAAAAATTGAAAGGACGATGACGTGGCAAATTAAAAACTCGCAAAATAAGCCAAAAGTTGACGTGGCAGTACATAATTGGAGTAACGTCAAGTAGTGACAGCAATGCACTGAACCGGGAAGAAAGTCTACTGTTCAACGCAGCACCCTACACGGCCCATTTCAAAACCACCAATTTGTTTCCTTTTTTTTGTCAATCAATTCTGTTCTGTTCAACAGAAGACGAGTATATTCTGCGAAGAATTCCTTATGAAATCCCCCCAAACTATCGATCCCGCAATTCTTATTTAAAAACCTAGCACCTCATTCTATTTATCATCTGGTAATTATTCTGCCCTGTTGAATTTTATGTAATCTCCTCTACCTGATAGAGAGGTTTCATTAATTCTGACGTGGAACTTGTGGATTGGGTTTTATTTTATTTTTCAAATTTTTATTTCATTTTTTCTTGTCAATTTGATCTGTTATATTCTGGATGTATTTTCAGGCCTATTTGAATTGTCTTCCAGCTTCTTCACTGTTGAGAATTAAGGCAAAAGATTTGATTTTTTTTGATGTTAGAAGCTTAGTTTCTGATCATCATTGTCAAAGGAACAAAATTCAAAATACAGCGACCAGGTTCAGGGGGCGACTTGCCCCTAGTTGGTGAGTCCAACTCATTCCCAGTGAATCGGAGGATGAACTCCTTCCAATCTGTTCCAATGGATGATGATATGGAGGGTGGTAACTTGGGGCCTTACCAAGAAAGGGCAAGGGTATTCCCTAACATGCGCACTAAACCATATACCCCCTTGGTAAGCGCATTCACAGCTTATTGTCTCCAGCTCAGTCACAATTTATGTGCCAGTGGCATCATTATACATGTGATTTTACTTTTTACCAACAATGCCTTATGCGCGCAGTTCACTTTCTTCCGGAAAGAGTTTTTTTTTGGTTTTTTCAGTTGCATATTCCATGCCTTCTATTCGTGTAGGTTCTTGTTACTATTTTAATGTCGTAGCATAGCAGCATTGTGTCCCTTGCCTGGACTTAAACAATGGATTAATATAGTACATTCATATCGCATTAACCTACTCTAAACTATTTTTAGGATTTCTTTCTTTCTTTCTTTTTATCACTGATTTGTCCACGTTCTTAAAAGTTGGGATTATTAGGAAAATATGCCCTGTAATAGATTCTCTGAGGCTCATGTTAATAAGATGGGATTGACAAACTGATTTGGTTATTTTATTGTACTAATTGTCAAGGTTCTAGAAATATTTTCCTTAATAAGCTTTCATGAAATATTTTTGTCAAAAGTGCAGTATAGTATTGCAGCAAAACTCCGTACACTTCTGGTGAAAATGTCTATGGCGGCAACCGTATGTTTTAATTAAAAATGTGACGATGACTATTATTTGTTAACAGCGATGATTCTTTTCTATGTACACTTCTTGAAAGATAAATAGAATGTTTCTATATATCCAAACCATGCTTAATGCTTGCTAGAAAGGCAATGCCCAATATATACCTACAAAATGCTGGTGATAATAATTATTATCATGTTTATTCAAAATGCTTCGATTTCAAAAGGGGAATTAGGATACAAGATTCTAGCGTAAATTTCTTTTTAGATTAATAAGAATGATATCATTCTTTGTTGGCTGTATGACGTGTTTTAGTTCTATATTTTGCTTTCGAAGTTTAGGATGAATTAGTTAATTTTATGTTAGTTTAGAACTTATTCCGAGACTTTATGTTAGTTTTGTACTTATAGTGAGAAGTAAATTTTAGAACTTGCTGTTACACTTCAAAAATCAAAATGAGTACATGGGCATAGTACACTTGGCAACATGAAAGTAGTCCGTCAAACAATTTTTTGAAATGTCTTCTTTGAGTATTGTTCGAGATGATGCTCACACCTGATATTGTGTTGTGAATTCTACTTTGAGAACCTCTGAGAATCTTTTTCTAATACCAGTTATTCAGTGATCGAAATTCGATGACAAATTTCATTTTCTTAATCCCTTATCAATTTCTTTATATGGAAAGCCATTATTTATTATAAGATCTGGGTCGAAAATCTTTGGTTGCTCTGCTACCCATGTCAAGTCTTGAAAACCCTAAGAACTTCAGCTGATGAAGTTTGATTTAAAATATTTACTTGTACTCTGAAGAGTTTTGTACAGCTGATTTTGTAATCCTTAACTGCTGAATTTTTCTTGTATTATCTGCCTGCTTTTATTTATTTATTGTTTTTTGTATTGATGAGTGGGCACTTGCTTTCTGCAGACCTTTCACCTCATGAGAATAGATGTCCGTGTTCTTTTTATGCTTATGCTCTTGGGATTTGGAGCTATCTTTTATATTGGTGCGAGCAGCTCCCCAATCATTATATTTGTCTTCTCAGTTTGCACAATCAGTTTTCTCCTGTCAATATATCTTACTAAGTGGGTCCTAGCAAAGGATGAGGGACCTCCTGAGATGGCCCAGGTATAGTTGTTCTCACCCAGATGATTATAGTATTCAGTTATCAAATTACAATTTGGAGGCTGTTGATAATTCTGGAATTTTCTTCAATATTCATGAAAGAGATTGACTGAAACCCCTCTACAAAAAGAGTGCACATGGAACCATTTCTTTTTCTTTTTTTTGATGTTGTGATTGAGCTATATGCCTTTGGCTAATATTTTTCAGGTGTATATGTTTATAAATTTAGGGTCACTGAAAGTTACATTTAGTTTTGCACCCAGTTTTCCACTAGGTTGGGATCTACTACCTATGAAGTTTTACTTGATTTCCTCTGCCTTGGGATCAATGACAAAACGATATACATTGGCTCTACGTAATGTTAACTGTTAAAAAGTTATATGCTGTTGATGCAACCTTTTGTACCTTTATTGATTGGGAGCTTGGGGACCGGAATTGAGTATATACACAATACATGTGTAATTACTACTTGGTAGTAAATGACGTGGATCTCTGCTTGGCTTTTATGTTTTCGTCTGAAGATACGAACTTGGAAATTTATTGTTCGTTCCTACTTCTTTTACCCCTTGCAAGTGAATGTAAAAAGGTTAGCTGCCTCAGAATTATGTTCAAGGTTATCTGATTTCCAAAGTAATTTCAAAAATAATCTTTTAGTTCGTCTGTTTAATTAAGAAATTTGACATGTGCTAAGGAGCCCATGCTAATGCATACATGTTGATGTTTGGGTTTTCACTAGGATGGAATGCGCAAATAGATAATGGTCCTAAAATTCACCTATCAAAATATACATGCTAGACTCCTGTGTCTGAGGAAATTAGTATATCTTTCTTTCTCCATTATACTAACCTCAAACTCAGGCTTTCCTGTGATATGAAACTGATGCCGTATTGGTGGACACTGAAATATAGCTTCTGTATCATCTCCTTCTCTGCTTTGTATATTGCATATTTTGTGAGGGGAGTTTTGACCTATTGTGGGTAACTAGGGGAAGCCTCATGTCTTACACTGCCAGAGAGGCTTACAGAGCCCTTTACTAATTTTCTTTCTTGCTTGTGCCTGTTGGTTTGTAGTTAATGGGCTTTGTCTGAGAGTACTCCACAAAGTAGTATACCAACTTTTGTTACAAGCATTGAATTTGAATGTAACTCATGAAAGGCAACCTTTTTTAATATCATCTTATTATTATTTTTTTAATATTTCGTTTGTCTTGAGCTTATCGTTTTACTTGCTAGATATCAGATGCTATACGTGATGGGGCTGAAGGTTTCTTTAGAACACAGTATGGAACTATCTCAAAGATGGCTGTGCTACTAGGTTTGGTGATCCTCAGCATATACTTGTTTCGCCATAGAACGCCTCAGCAAGAATCTTCTGGCCTAGGGAGGTGAGGATAGAATGACTTTAAAATTGGGATATAGTTTCAGATTGTCAATTGTAGGGTCCAAAATATAAATGGTAAACTCGGGCTATACTGATGCAGGTCAACGTCTGCATTTATTACTGTCGCTGCTTTTCTTCTTGGGGCCTTGTGTTCTGGTATTGCTGGTTA